TAGAGTGTCCTTTTACGTTGCTGGCTTCAGTAGCAAAGAAGTGAAATCATCTTTCACTTGCATTCCAGCTTGTATCTCTACAACTCTGCAAATACTGGGAAAGCGATAATGAAATCTTCTTCATCAGCTACATTTGTACCACAGCCACATGGCCAGATGGGTAACATCTCAATCCTTGATAAATATGAAAGTGAAGTACTTAGCCGGAAAACTGAATTTAACTCCACTTCTGCAAACGTGTAAAAATCTGTTTCAGAAGTTTTTCTGTAATGTGGACCATAAATAGTAACTGTAAAATGTACAGAAGTAGAAAGCGTGTGTCAAAAGCACTTTATTTGACCCTGTTCTACCAAAAATATCCTTACTTCCTGTGCTCAATTTAATCCAGCACAATCTACAACCATTTTAGCAGTATAATCCAATACTTATCCTACACATTTGTGTGAGTTTATGTACTGAGAACATTAGGAAGAAAGGATTTATTAACAGCCTCTCAACTGACATTTACAGGGATTACGGTTCTTCAGTTCCCCAGTAGTGCTAACCTTACATTTTTCTCTTATTTCCTCGGCTTAAAAGTTCAATTACAAAATTTCTAACATTAGGAAAACACCGTATTTTTAAAAACACAGAATGCCCTCCTTAGCAGCCAGGATCTGCCCGATTTCAGCTTCCCCGTAACCAGCATCTCTGCCTCCTGCTACTTCACAGCGAGGAAGTAAGCAAAGAAACATTTCAAGTGTTGGTGCAACCTGCTAACTACATTAAATGTGATAAAGGAATGGGATCTTAGGCCAGTCATGTATATAATCATAATTAAAACATACTCCGAAGCAGGAGTTTCAAACAGGACAATCTCTGTGGCTTCCTCACCTGCGGAGACAACCAGGCCTGGAGAAGACTTGACCCGGGCACTTAAATCACTAACACACTCTCTCCCAGGAGTTTCTTAGGAGAGAGAAAGGAGTTTATACCCTGGCCAGAGTTTTATATGATTGCACCGAAGCAATAATAAACATCATCAGTGCAGAGAGTTCAAACATGCAGTTTTCTACATACATATTTTTATCTCTGAAAACACAGGCAGGGAATTCCACACCACGAGAGGACAGGACAGGACCGTAATCTTTAGGATTTACTGGAGCTCACGATTATGAAAGAGTACTACAAGCCTTTCACGCTGAATTTACATTTGTAGCTGTAACTTCGCTGAAACACAGTGAAAAAAACGCAGAGATTTAGTCAATGATCTTTGATATGGACTAGGCAATAAACTTCCTAACTCTTAGGAAAGCCCACCACTGTGCCTTTAAAAAGGTAAAATTTCAGAGGTAAACGTTTCATCAGCGACTGAATTGCTGGACGAGAACTTTTGAAATGACCTAAGAGAATCTTGTACAAAAAGGTATGAATGCTCAATAGGTCCAGATTACCACAGTTACATGAGCATTCTACAGCATTCATAAATATTGTGGTCCACTTAAGCACATTTCTTGAACTATTTACAACAATTTGAGTAATTTGTATGCTAACTAAATTAACAAGACTAAACCTATACCTGTAAATTTCTACTTGCCAGGAGTTTATATAGAAGCTGGATGTTGCATCCATGGAATACTTGCCACTATAGACACATATCTCTACCACATGGAGCGTAATTGAAAATATTCTGCAATTTTCTTGAATTTTCCACTACAACATAAACTTCATGCATCTGTATGGGGAAAAAAAAATATTGATTGGAGATTGGAGTTGGTCAAAGAAAACGTACCCCCGATAAGCAAGACTGGCAAACTTAAAAATGGATGAGAAGAAAACTAAGATACTGAACAACTTCTTTGCCTCAGTCTTCACTGGCAGTCTCTCCTCCCACACCTCTCCAGTCCCTGCAAGACAGGGACTGGAGGAGCCAGGTCCCTCCCACTGTAAGAGAAGATCAGGTTCGAGACCACCTGAGGAAACCAAACATGCACAAGTCTCTGGGACCTGATGAGATGCATCCCAGAGACCTGAGGGAACTGGCTGATGTAGCTGCCAAGCCACGCTCCATGATATTGGAAAGGTCATGGCATGCCAAGCCACTCTCCATGATATTTGAAAAGTCATGGCAGTCAGGTGAAGTCCCTGGAGACTGGAAAAAGGGGAACATGGCACCCATTTTTAAAAAAGGTAGCAAGAGTGATCCTGGGAACTACCAACCTGTCAGCCTAACCTCTGTGCCTGGGGAGATCATGGAACAGGTCCTCCTAGAAGCTCTGCTAAGGCATGTGGAGGACAGGGAGGTGATTTGAGACAGCCAGCATGCCTCCACCAAGGGCAAGTCCTGCCTGACCAACCTAGTGGCCTTCTATGATGGACTGACCACATCAGTGGACAAGGGAAGACGTTAGCATCCTTTCCCTGTGTGTTAACCTCATCAGTCAGCTTGGTGTCGTCTGAAAACTAGCTGAGCGTGCACTCGATCCTACTGTCTACGTCATTGATGAAGATATTCAACATAGAACAAGATGTTGTCTGGACTTCTATAAGCCCTTTGACATGGTCTCTCACAACATCCTCCTCTCTAAACTGGAGAAATAGGGATTTGATGGGTGGACTGTTGGGTGGATGAGAAATTAGTTGGGTGGTCGCATCCAGAGGGTAGTGGTCAATGGCTCAATGTCTAGATGGAGATCAGTGACAAGTGGTGTCCCTCAAGGGTCCATAACAGGACCAGTACTGTTGAGTACCTTCATCAATGACACAGACAGTGGGATTGAGTGCACCCTCAGCAAGTTTGCAGATGACACCATGCTGATTGGTGAGGTTAACACACCTGAGGGACAGGATGCCATCCAGAGGGACCTGCACAAGCTCAAGGAATGGGTCTGTGTGAACCTCGTAAGGTTCAACAAGGCCAAGTGCAGGGTCCTGCATCTGGGTCTGGGCAAAGGAAGGGATAGAAGGCACCCCTGCGGAGAAGGACTTGGGGGTCCTGGTGGAGGAAAAGCTGGGCAGGAGCCAGCAATGTGCGCTCACAGCCCTGAAGGCCAACCATATCCTGGGCTGCATCCAAAGTAACATGACCAGCAGGTCAAGGGGGATGATTCTACCCCTCTACTGCACTCTGGTGAGACCCCACCTGGAGTCCTGCGTCCAACCCTGGAGCCCTCAGCACAGGAAAGACATGGACCTGTTGGAGCAAGTCCAGAGGAGGGCCTCAAAAATGATCAGAGGGATGGAAGACCTCTCCTGTGAGGACAGACTGAGAGATTTGGGGTTGTTCAGCCTGGAGAAGGGAAGGTTCCAGGGAGACCTTACTGCAGCCTTCCAGTACTTAAAGGGGGCTTCTAAAAAAGATGGGAACAGACTTTTTAGCAGGGCCTGTAGCAATAGGACAAGGGTTAACAGTTTTAAACTAAAAGAGGGCAGATATAATGAAGAAATTTTTCACAGTGAGGGTGGTGAACCACTGGCACAGGTTTCCTAGAGAGGTGGTAGATGCCCCATCCCTGGAAACATTCAAGGTCAGGTTGGACAGGGCTCTGAGCAACCTGATCTAGTTGAAGATGTCCCTGCTCATTGCAGGGGGCTTGGACTAGATGACTTTTAAAGGTCCCTTCCAACTGAAAGTATTTTATGATTCTATGTTTCTATAATTTTGTAGAGCTTCACACAGTCTATTTTCTTCCTTTCATTTTAGCAGTAAAACATTTCCCCACTTGATCTGATCACTAATCCCATCTGGGCTTCAGACTTTGTTAGATGTAATTTGTAGATCTCATCCACCTCAGCAGGCTGCAATATTAGTAATTGTAGCTTCCTTGATGTAGATGCAGCTGATTCTCATTCAAAGATACCGTAAGACATACACCGTGGCAGCCCAAATCAGTCTTTTTACCTTTCCATCTTCCTTCCTTCAGAGATGTTAATTTTGTAGGTTCCACTCTTCAATGTGTTTGAGAAGTTTATTTAAGGTTGCAGATTAACTGTGTTGTACAATGCACTCCAGTACCACTATGACTATGTACTATGTGCATGTACATGCGTATGGGTACAGGGAGTGGGACAGACAGGAAGAGTGCACAACAGACTCAGTTGACCTGGATAACAGAGAAGCATCTTTATATTCTCTTCCAGATTGTGTCAGGGTCCTAGAGACAAAAATGAAGCTTGCACAGATTTAATCTGTAAACTAAAACTTTATGTATAATTTTCACACATACTGGCAGGCAGTATGTTCAAGCCAAGAGAGAAATACTCAACAATCCCAGAACACAAAGCAAACTTATTTATGTTTATCTTATTCTAAGATTATTTCAGTTTTAGCTTATTCATAAGGTTATAGCTTTTCTCAGAACTCTGCAACCCTTTACTCCTTCTTATTTGTGTGATCTCATGGTTGACCCAGCTTGCAGCAGGAGGCTGGACTAGAGATGTCTTGAAGACTGAATCTTTCTTAAATCCTGTGATTCCAAAAGGAATGGCATCTTTATCATGTGTTGATCATCCACCTCTCCTACAAATTCTGAAAATTCTGTAACTGTTCAGTCAGCACAAGTGAAAGGTTAATCATTTCAATTTAAAAGATAACAAAAACTCCTCTCTACCAGTGATGTGTCTCCTCTATGGTGTCTACAAATGGGACACAAGTTTGGAACTCCACTTCCTTTTTCAAACCAGCATCACTACTTAAGTCTTAGAACACCATGAGAAAGAAATTTGATTATTCCTTTTATCTGCTTGTGGTAATTGCCATAAGCTGGTCTCATGCTGAAAAGCTTGATATTTATCACTATTCTGCTTGTATCACACCTATCACAGTCTGGCCCTGATCTACGATATTCAGAACAAATAACACATTCCAGCTAACAGTTCCAGCTAACAATGTCATGTGTAACTAACTTCATTTAATTTAAATACCCATCACACCAGCACCGGGTAGTACCACCGCCTTTCAGCCTTGGCTGGCAGAACAGAGACAGGATTTCCCATTCAGCTGGGATGAAATAGAATTTTTCTCAAGTTAGAAATAGGATTTCAGTTAAGGAAAGCTCATAAAGATTTTTGTGGCATGGACTGTGCTTACCTCCTGGACAATGCCTCATGGCCATTTTACACCGTCTGGATTCTGCAATGGTTGGGCATGGTATCGTGTCTTTCGCTGGCTTCTTCACAATTTGCCTTGTTCTCGTTTCCAGGCCCCACTTAAATCCACATGTTTTGTTATTTCTGCTGCAAATTCCCCACTCACTCCACTGACCCACTTCACAGCCTTCTGATAAAGCAAACAAAAAGACGAATGAGCAATTCTTCTGGGTTTTTTTTTCCTTTAGTTTGTTTTTTTTCATTAGAATACACTACTAGAAACCACCACTTGAAAGTTTTACTGTTTACAGGCAAAAACTTAGAAACAAAATTAAAATCTCTTACAGAACCTGAAAGAATCTTTTTGGCTGGCATCAATCTGAGCATAAAACCGTAAGACTATCAATCTGTATGTATAGACATCACGTCAGTCCCAAATATTCAATACCCTCCTAAACTCATGAGATTGATTTAGATTTTTTTCTTTTTAATAAATAAATCCTATTTCATTGTCACCTGGATTTGCAAAGCTCAAGAGTCACACTTCCAGGTTCTCACCATCATGAAATGCAAGGAACACTCTTGAAAGAAAAGAGTCTGTTCTGACACTGTTCCCAGACTTCAAGATTAAACACCAAATTGTGACACTCCAGAAACATTGTGAAAACTGCCAATGCTGGCTCAGAGTTATAAAGTAAATTTCTACTAAAAACACTTATTTGGTGGTTTATATTTATTACTTGCTAATAGAAAAGGGGGGAGCTGCAGAGAAACTAAAAGTGAATTTGAAGCCCAGATGCTACAGGAGTTTAATCTCCCCTGCCCTGGGTTTCTGGCATTCATTAAAGGCAATATGAGCAGGTAGTTTTATGAGGACAAGAGTGCAACAAGTACATCATTGACTTAAAGTTCTAATGCAAAAGCCGGCCTTCCTGAAATCATACAAATTCTGAGTTATAAATCCCCATACAAGGTGATTTACAGTTAAGAGGACAGAACTTTCTGATGCAGAACAGAATGACATTCCCAATAATGTAATATTTCAAAGTTTGGGAAAAAAATGTGTTTTTTTAATTATTATTATTAGGGGTAAAGAGATCCAGACACAATCTATTAGTGAAGATTTCTTGATAGAAAATACTAAGCAACAGCTTTAAAATAGTTTCATAGGTATTTGAACCCATCCACCTGGCAAAAGAGCTGCTTCAGCAGCACGGTTGTGCTAGAAGACTCACCCACACATTCCATAAGCTCTTCCAAGGCTGCAAATCCAGGGGGGCATCCTCGGAAGCAGCGGCCTCTGTGTGAGTAGAAGCCAGTTTTGCATTTGGTACAAAAGTCTCTGCTAAAGCAGGAGTCGCAGTTTTCTATTCTGCATCCTGAATCAAAAGGATCATAAGGAACAATGAGACAGCTAAGTTAGGGTAAGACTAAAAATGAAAGGTCTTATAAAGCAATAAAATAGCAAAACCAGAATTGCTATAATGAGGAATACTGTCATCCTGAAATCTATCTGCTGTATAAGAGAAATAATAGGTAACTGTAACTGTTTTCCACATTTTCCCCTACATCTTTTTAATCCTTTTTTTTTTAATAAAAACTGCAGATAAAACCTCTAGTTAAGTGATATTTGAGTTAATTACATCTTTTTGGAGGAAAAACGTTCAATGAAAATTATTTTTGTGTTTAATTAATTTTGAGGAAACTAAGATACAAAAAATTATTTTGGGAAGTATTTATGTATTATACGTACTGTCTTTAGTTTATTATTTCTCATTGCAAGCAGAATATTTCTTTTTCCATGAGCTCACTCCTATAAATAGCTGAATAAATGCTTTCATGAATTATGTCTGATGTCCGTATCTACACATACGCATGTGCTACCATGCAAAAAGCCTCAGTTTTTCTGGATATAACTCGTCTCTATTATTAAGGCAGTTAATCCATAAAAATAACCACTATTAAAGGACTAGAAGGCAAAGCTATAATCAATAGTAAAAACAAAACAAAAAAAACCCCAAACACAAAACTATTGCCTTTTGAAATATTGAATTTCTCTGAAAATTTAAGAGAAATATTGTCCATTATAGATTACAGACTCGGAAGCAGACTATTCAGAAACATCCTATGCCATACTAAAACAAGGCAACTTGGAAATGTGCTATATATCAACAATCACATGCACACCTGAAAAGCAGAAATACTTACATGGAGGCTTATGAAAGTCAGTCATACATACCTACAAAAAAATGCCAAGGAAAAATGTTCCAAAGGTTAAAAAGTAAAAGACCTTATATTTGGAACAGTAATGAGCACTTCAAAATTAACTTTAAAAAACTAATCCTTCAGCTAACACACATGATTTATATAAACTACATTAACTGTATCCTGTCTTCAGCGATCTGGAGTCACAGCAGGAAGCATTTGTTATTCATGTCATAAAACAATATACTAATCTTTTTGGTCACTTATGTCATTCATACCTGATCTAGTTAAAGATGTCCTGCTCACTGCGGGGGGTTGTACTAGATGACCTCTGAAGGTCCCTTCCAACCCTAACTATTCTATGATTCTATGATTCATTTATTTTTTGTTCTTTTCTAAAGAAAAAAAAAAATCACAAACCATAAGGACTTCTGAAATAGTTATTGGTCATTAACCCTAACAACACTTCAAATACAGCCAATATTTATAAAACAGATTTTAATATCTATTCTTGAACTTCAACAAGCCAAAATAGGGCAAACCATAACACTTGAATGGTGTGGTAGTGAGAAATTATCCTTTGTTAGCAGTTAGGGAAATTTAGATCAGATTTCCTGTGGCACTGGACAATAAATTAGGCAGACTGCATGAAAAGAAAAAAGAGTATTTCAAATGCTGGTACACCTCTCTTTGGTCAGAAGAAAGGCGAACATCAGTTTGAAATCTTCCATTGCCAAAGGGAAGCTCTGTTTAGACACAACCACACATAATCTGCCTGCTACCAACTCCAGTGTTCAGCATCTCTCAAAGGAGATTTTAGAACCTGTGTTCATCTAAGCAGCACAAGTTGGGCTTCTTATCCACAGCTGAGTTTATAGGAAACTCCCAAGAATGATAATTTCTTTTTCATGAGGTTCGAATCAATGTCCAAAGAAGAGAAGATCAACGCTCTTACAATGACCCTGCAAAATCGCTTCCCCAGATTCATGTGTCTGCAAGGCAAAATGATAAGGTGAGCTGCTCTGGAGATGTACTGCAACAGTTAATTGCAAATCTGGTTTGTTACACTCAAGATGTACTGCAAGTATTTTATTCTTTGCAATGCTTGAATCAAACATCCAGTGTGTTTAAATATTCAGAAAAAA